ACACACATATACACTTGTATACATACATAATTCTGCTAATAATAATCTTATACAAATATATGTATATGTGTGTGTGTTTTTATGTTTTATATTTTAACAATAAGCTGTGGACTTAAATTTTAATTAATAAACTATATGTCTTCATATCTAAATCTGTCTTGTTCTTGTCAAGTGAAAAATGAGTCTGCTGCCCTCTGGAATTTATTCATCTCTCCTTCCATAATACTGTATATTCTACTATTATTAGGTAATATTAATGCAAATGAATATTTTTTTTATAATGCAGTAACCATTATAGGAATACATATCACTTGTATATTTGTTATTTATGTTAAAATTTATGACAGATTTTTTTTATCTACCGTACATCTTTACTCTTTTAGAAATCAGCACAAAATACTTACGATAATGATTCGTCTGATAGTGTAGCTAAACAGCGTCTAGAACAGTATAAAAAGTAAGTAAACATATACTTTAATAATCCCCCTTTCTTGAGACTTCATAAATCAAGTATGTTATAGCACCCTCATTTTTACTTCAATGTTTAATGTAGGCTTCATAAACAAAAAAAAACAAGCATTTTTCTATCTCTGATGAATCAGCCTCCTTTGATGTAATTTAACACCAATTGAAGAAATGTTCTTGAATCCAATCCTCATAAATTCTCTTACAATTAATGTAATTAATAATAATGATAATAATTAATTCTTTTGTAGCGTATATAAGCAAGCTCTCAACGCACTGTCTATAAATTTAAATAAAGAAGAATATGGATATAATGTTAGATTATGAAATTATGAAAAACATGATGGAAAAGGGAGGTCTTTAAAGCTCTATCCACACTATCAAATTTACTTTGACAAAAAAATGTGACAAGCCCATATATAGTAATGCTATGCCTATATATGGTCATGGTGTGATGTCATCATGCCCATATATGGGCATATCACACTTTTTTTGTCACACAAAATTTGATAGTGTAGACAGAGCTTTAGCTTGGTGTTAATGTATTTTATTATTAGATATTCATCTAGTGATTTGTTTACTTGAGATACATCAGTAGTAAAAGTTTTCAGATTGGTGATCTATTTTTCCCACTTTGAAGTCTTGGTTTGTTGCCACTGTGGGCTTCGAAGAACCTACCATGCATACTTAAAGATTTTAATTTTTATAAAATGTGTTAGTTTTTACATATTGTAATTAATCAAATATTAATTGACAAAAAAAGAGAGAATAACCACCATATCTTGACTAGTTTTGAAAGTGTTTAAAAAAAAATATTATATCGCCCTCAACACACTATGTCTGTTGGCACTGTTACTATTCCTCACGTTTCTGCACAAATATACCTTGCTGATAGCCAACTGTGTGTTTACTATGCGTATTTACCTAGATTTATACCTTTTCCAGTGCATTACCTACATTTGACCTCATTCTAAAATTAATGAATTGACAAATCAATCAACATCTAATGTATTTGATGATATTAAAGGGTTGTTGTCCTTAACCACTGCAAACAGTTCTCCAAATCATATCCCACCCGATATCTTTCAACACTTTACATAAAGTAAACTTGATCAAGTCGTTCTCTCCAAGTTGCAATCTACGCGAGTCTGATTATTAATGCGAGGTGTTATCAATTGAGATCCAAATTGTTTGCATAATCGATTCGAAGCTGTCGTCAGGGTGAGCACTCAGGAATACCAATAATTATCTGTAAGTTCTAGATCCACAGTTTTTCTTTGCAATCAGTGGTGAATTACCAGTGCAAATATTTTCACACTCTACTTCAGTCTTGAGCTTTCAATAGAATTGCACACGACAACGATAATGAGTTTGTTCGCGATGGTAAGCACACTAAAACTTGTTACGTTTTAACGAGGTGACATATAATTTGTATTAACTATACTCATGAAGCTAATTTCAGTCCAGTCTCTCTTTGATATTGAGATTATGTGTAGCTAATTCCAGTGCACATTAACTGAAATAGCGTTAAGCTGGTTTTTTTTTTTTTTTTTTTTTTTACGTCTTTTAGACACAGTAATTTCCTACTTTTGAATGTTTACTTTATTTTTACATAGCAAATGAGATTCTCCTGATGTAGCTTTTTTGTATTATCTGGTTTTTTTTTTTATTTGGCTATTTTTTTGTTTATTATATATTTATGTAAGGAAGAGTGTACAATCCACACGCATTAAGTCCTATAACTCTTACTCCCGCCATCACGTCTGTATTTCAAGTAAAAATATGATTAATAATTAGGTTAATTATAAGTTTTTATATATTTATATTGCATTGCAAAATATACCAACACTGGAAAAAAGAAAAACGTTACTATTTCAATTACATTTTCATTCATTGATAGCATTTTGACTATAATACAAAGTTGGAAAATGATTTTTTTTTTTAAACTTCGGTCATCAACAGTTTTAGATCATGTTATTTAGGTGGCAATACCGAATCTGATCTACATATTCCAAAGCAGAGAATTATGAATCAATATTTGTTACTATTTCTCCCAGCCACTAAGAAGAGTGTTTTCAATATTGAAACAAAATTAATTAAGGTGACAGAAAAAAATTAATGATAGAAAACTCATTATTTTTCTGGCCTTTTCAAAGCATCAGACCCTAATCCAACAAGATAATGAAAATATAAGAAAAAAGCATATGACATCCCTTTGGATGGCAATATAGAAACTAACAACTTGCAAGTAAAAGCCAACACCTTTATGCCAAGGACTTTTTGCAAACACCTTGTAGATAAATTAAATGATTGCAGATTTGAAGAGGATCGTCACTACAGTAATGAGAACGCTGCAATTTTAGATTTGATAATTTAATTCAAGGTTGCAATGAATAATGATAATCAGTAATTGAAAGAGCTAGTGTATCTGAGTTGAATTTACAAATTGATTTTAACACAGGTTCTGTGTGTGTACAGGACACACATTTAAAGAGTGTATATTTAAATGTGTGCATATGGTAGTGTTTGATGTGTTACTTGTTGACAACAGATAGTTCTAATGGTTTTAATAATAATATAATGATATTCAAGAATTAATATTCTAAGCTTATGAGTTTTAGCAATAATATTCAATAGTTTGACTGTTATAGTAATTTTTAACCTTCAGATTTAATTTGGAATATAAAAAAAATGTTTTCATTGTCAGTTAACAGATACATACCATATTATTAAATTTTGCCATAGATGGTCACATAATTGATATGACTCAAGTTGACATGCAAATATTGTTGATTTAAAAACATTTTTTTTTTAGCTGGATGTGCCAACGAATGCCAATGGCGAACCTAATCACTGTCTATGTAGCAGTCCTTTTGCAAGACAAACATACACAACATAAACTCATTATGAGGTTTAGGGTTTTTTTATGAATGATATATATGAATTAAGATTTTATAAAAGAAGGTATGTTAAAGAACATTTCTGAAAAATATCAATCATTAAATATAACAGTATATAAGTATAAAGTATATTAAAATTATTTTTAATATACTACTGTATCTTAATAAAGTATTGATTTTGGAATGTATGGAAGCTGATTTCTCAAAACCGGCATTGCTGATATCCAAAAAATATTTAAAATTTCGCTAATACTCAACTGATTTCCATCAAATAAACACTGTTTTAATGATTTTTCTTTTGAAAGTATTTGTAGAAGCCAGCTTAGCTACTAATTTGAAACATACTCTGGACTATTGTCTGGTGAAATAATTGGTGTGTTAAAATGGTAAATGGTAAAGTATGGAGGGAACTTGGCAAAGGGTTTATACCTGAGAAACTGTGATATAAACTGACTGGCCTTTTAGTAGGCAAATTTGGTTTCCATACAATCGCTACATGCTATCGCCGACAGCTTTCGGTGATGCTGATTGGTCGGTCGAATCAGTTAGCATTCCTGATTGTGTTGAGTACTGCTACGCAATACAGAACGATTGCACTGAAAACACTGTAGCGACAGCAAAGCGATTTTAAGGGAACCAGGCTTTAGGCAAATGGTGGAGTGGTATGTGGATCTGTCTATCGGCCGCTTTTTATAGAATTAGTTTTTTCGATTACAACAAGCTATCCTCTCTTTTTTCAAATGTCATCAGATAATAGTAATTGCTGACGGTGCTATAAGACACATGACATTAACCATCACATAAAGCCGATGCCTGTGCTAAGCATTGAGCATTAAGTATGATTTTCTTAATGAATGTTAACACACAGTGTAATTCTATCTTATGTGAAATGGTTAATTTCTATTTAATGGTCACCATTGGTACTTGCTAAATTTACAGTCACCTAAAATACTGAGTTTGTAAAGAACGTCATTTAGTTCATGAGCCTTGTTAACGAGGCATAAATGTCACTGTAGCTAATTATTGGTATGTGTAAGTTCGTCTGTTCACTAGGAGTAAGGATGTGAATGCTGTTTGGAGTCGTTCACACTGCTAGTAAGAAAATTGATTAAATTCGCTGTTGCTAGGTCTTGATGGCCCCTGTTTAAGATTGATGGTTGGGGCTTTTTAGTCCAAAGTGACATATAATGTCTTAGGGCCAAACATTGTCAGGGGGCTGCGTAGTCTTTCAACAAAGCCAAAATAGAACCTCAAAATTAAAAACAGTTTAACTATGTTGCAATCCAGACATCGCTATCTTCTTTGTTTCTGCTTCAGTGCTATGTTAGGTTGACTTAATAGGAAATCTTTGTGATGGATGCCTATACTGCCCAATAACTTGTTTAATAACGAAAGCAAATTACTATTGAAAAAAATGTAGAAGTCATGGAAATAAATCAATTTAAAAGGTGAACAATAATTAATAATATAAAAAAGTAAGTATTAGTGAAAATTTAACTGGTTGTTTTTAGTTTTTGTTTTTTGTTGTAGAAATGTGGTGATTTATATATTAAAGACTTTTAATGAAACGAGGCTCCAATAGCCACAGCCCCAATGAGCATACACAGGCTGAGCTACCCATGCCTACACAACTGAAAAATAAGTACATTCTTCTAAAAAATGTTTGTTTAAAAACCCTCAGAATTATATGGTTAGACAATATATAACATGGACAGAAATTTTAGAATATTATATAATATATAACTACAGTATTTTGAATCTTCAATGATGAAAATGTAAGAAACTAGCAGTGGTTGATACAAATATTTCTTTCATTTAGTGCATGGGTTTGTCTCTTCGGGATCAACAAAGACAAGCTCCCTGCTTTTTTAAATAGATCTAAATTAATCAAATTTTATATATTTAGTTTTTTTTGTCTTTTTTATCCAAAAGCAAGTACACTTACAATTGCAGTATATAAAAATTCTTTAAAAAGTCTCTATGAGCATAAAGTGCTTTCGTGTATGTAGAGCACTTTGATCCCTTTCAGAAAGGTGCATTATAGGTGTCTAATTATTGTTATATATCAATCATGGCATCATCACTGTAACTTCCAATGTTAATTTCCTATCCCAAACTGTGCACACTCATTTTTCATTAGTGCATGATTTGCTTACTTGCTCCAAAATAACTTTTACTGTACAATCAATGTATCGTGCACGCATCATGATGAATATTCTAGGCTAGTGTTTGCACACCTAGCACCGAAGAATACTGTAGAATGGCCGAAGAGAGGACAGGCACTTACCCAATCATGGTTTCTTGACAAATGGTAATTGAAAATATTAAATTCATAGAACATGGTAAATTAGAACCCAAAGAAAGACACTTCAAATTCAATATTACAGTATGTTTGAAAAATTAAGGAATTCCTTGAATCAATTTATCCTAATCTAAAGAAAGTGAAAATTTAATAGGAATATTTCAGGCCTGTTATAAGCATATTTGAAATACTAAATCATCTTGATTTTACGTGTCTACACCCACCAAAAATGTGATTACTTTATGCTCTCTCAAAAGCTTGTAGAATTTGTATTTCAGAAGAGTGAACTCATGATAAGTCACGGTCACTATCTTATTTATTGTACTACATACCATTTCAACTTAGCATGAACTGTAGCAACAATCAGCATATGCACACCTAAATATACATACACGCAGGAATTTTTTTTCATGCATTAATCTAACCTTCGTATAATAAAATCCACTAGTGTATGATACAACTATACTAATTGGTTATTATTACTACTGTATTATTAGGGAGTAAATTGTGTTTAGTCATGAGAAAAAAGTTTAGTTTTAACAGGATTTGAACCCTGGAGCCTGAGATTGAAAGGCCGTTATCTTAACAACCAAGGTACAGCTCCACTCTTACTTGTTATTGATTAAATATAAATTGATTGATTGATTGATTAAATTTAATACTGATTCTAATGTATCAAGTAATGTATTTAAAATTCTAGTCTCTCTTTAACCCAGGAGTTTAATGAGTATGTAAATGACTTGGAATGGAATTAGCCTGGAACTGAATTAGTCGCATGTCTAGGAATACTCCGCAGGGAATGAAGGAGTTTACACGCCATGCATGATTGATTCCGTATCCAATGACCAGGGAGAAAGAAAAATCAAATAGTGAACTAAAAGGAAAAAGCCATTATTATAAATAAACAAAATTATTTAATATTACTAGATAGTTCATGTAATGTAAAATCATAGAAGACAGGCTACATTTTGATTTTTTTCTATTATAATTTATTGTTCTAGAAGTGTAAGACTGTATTATCGTTTACTGAACCAGTCGGTGATAAGTGGCGATAAAACTGCCTACACGTACGTAGCACAGGCTGTCAACTGAGATGTGTAGTGAAAGACATTAATGAGACAGCACCCTATAAAACACTTGCCTGCTAACTTCAAACTTAACTAACAGGAGCATTTATAGTTCATCTGCTAAGATAATAAGGGATTTATTCATCATAGGTTTAGTTGTACTTGTTTCTGCTCTTTTTCATTTAACTCAGCAATTGAGATTTTATCCGTCTGAATTTATGTTCTTATCCATTTGAATCTAAGGTCACTGGCTTGTCGCCCTCAACCATTATCTGATGTAATATTGACGATGCATTCTTGGTTGTTGTAGTCGTCAATCAAACGATTTTTAATACCAGACCTTAATTGTATAATTTCTTTAATGGCAACCATAAAATACAGTTAGTGATATTTTATGAGCATATATCCAGAATATGTAGCAAATGCATTTTTCTTTTATTTGTAACTTTAATGTGTTTATTAAATCATACATTAAATTATAATAACAGTGCACTAAAATTTGATGACAAGACAATTTCAAAATACTCATTAAATGTTGCAAAACAAGAATTTATATTGTAGTAATATGAGATTCTCTGTATGGAAATATTTGCTACTGTATATAAATTCTCTAGAATATTTTAGATAGGTAGACAAAAGTAAAGAACTACATAACATGAAGGTGGAAAACTACCATTCATGGATTGAAAAGAAGTTTATAAGAAAAAAACTATCAATTGACTCTCCAAACCGAATCCACAACTCAATATGTATATCATATGAATAAGCTTCTTTTTAAAACTGTAACAAATAAACGAATAAAAATCCAACTGCCATCTCAAGTTGCTACCTAAACAATTATGCTTAATTTAGATACTAAAAAATTCAGTATTTTGATCAAGATGTTCCACCGTATGGAAAGAGGAAACCTGGTCGCCAGCGCATTCTGTTTTTAAATTATATCCAGCACCTTTTAGGTGATCCTGAGGGAATGGTGCAGCCACACCAAATTATCTCAATGGCCTAAGATCGCAAAAACTGGAAAAAACTTGTGGTCGCCTGCTCCGCAGATGACTGATGATGATGATGATTCTTTGATTTAAGTAAACTAAATTGATGGGTGGAAATTAGGAAAGTGGACCTAATATTATCTAAAAGAGAATCAAGAATCTTCAGTCTGGTTCAGTGCAGGGGGTTCCTATTGATTTTAACCAACTGTGAAACAACATTTTGATTTTTTTTTCTTACAGAGTAAATATATCTAAATTAATTGAAGAACATGGATGCTTGGTTGTTCGCCCACTGTATTCAAGTGATCATGACGTCCGCGAAAAAGTACTACTTGCTATGAAAAACCTGCTTGTACCGTGCGAATCACACTTCAAAAGTCAGAACCTAATAGATCATCTTAGTGAGATGAAAATAGAATATGAAGTGTTGGTAAAAGATGAATTATTAGAGGGTGAGACTGATGGATTTTTTGGTAGCATGTTGATCCTTGTGGATACTGTTTTATCACAACTTACTTAGGTGTAAAAATCTTACTATTATTGAAAATTTTATAATACAATTTAATATGTAATAATATTAAATATTAATTATTTATTAATAGTTAATGAATAATACCAATGCAGTAATGCATCTAATAAAATAAATGAAAGTTTTAAACGACATGTTTCGACGTGTCCCACGTCACCATCAGGCAGTAGTGCTGTGCTACTGACGGCTTAAATAATATTTGCTTGTTTTCACCTTACATCTGACCGGCAGTATTTAAGCCGTCAGTAGCACAGCGCTATTGCCTGAGGATGACGTGGGACACGTCGAAACATGTCGTTTAAAACATTCATTTAAATGAATAATACTAATAACAATATTAATTATAATACTATTATTAATTCCAATATCACATTATAATTTGAAAGAGGACAAGAAAGAAAGGGTATATAAAA